ATACCATATCAATATATCATCTTTCTTTATAAACTAGTATCCTTGACCTTGATAGTCAAAGAAAGAAGTGTCTTAAAACACTAACTAGTATAATATTTTAAAAGAATTGATCACCATATACACATAAGACTATTACATAAATCATAAAATATAATTAGAAGTTATAAAATGTTGATTTTAAGCTTTCAGGTTTTCAGTACCAAAATATTTGAATGGATACTTTCTAATTGGATATTATGAGGTTTTGGTGTTTGTAAACCAATTAAGGATACAAAACTTAATAATTATTTTATAAGTTAGGGATAACTCAAAATTAATTCTATGAGAATATCTCTATAATTAACGACAAAATTATACTATGATTTTCCGACTTTTGTTTATGTACTATTCCATAAATTAATTTAACAAAATATTTTAACAAGACCCATAATATAATATTATTATTAAACTTGTATTATGTAATGAAAGCACATTATGGTGCGTAAGTTTATTATTGTAGATAATAAAATATGGCGTGATTATAGAGTAATGACTTATTTAGCACTCATTTTTGTAGATAAATATCGGTAATACCAATACCAATTACCAACTTTCAATTATTCAGTACAAATAGTACAAAGTGTTTATTTCTTTATAAATACAATGGTGAATAATACCGTGATTATAACACATTTATATGTTATAATATATTCAATATATTACGTTCATAAATTGGTTCAGCAATGTAGGAAATAATGTAATAACGTGGGCAAAAGTAATTTTCACTATAAACTAAACACATACAAAAACGACCTTATTCTTAATGATTAAATGACATATTTAATTTTGTAATAAAAATATTTGAGAACAAAAATAAACATAATAATAAGTCATGCAACTCGTATTACAATTTATTTTTCAATAGAAATTACTATTGTTGTTATTGTATGTATAAAAATAATAAAATGTAACATTAGGTTGGGCACATTACAATAACATTACATTTTAATAATTTTAAATTAGATTAAACAGACCGGGGAAGTCGCTGTAAAGAGTATACGTAAAATAGGTGTCGAGGGTACCTCGTCACTGAGTAGATAACTGGAATACGGATGTGTTAAATTTAAAGTCAATGATAAATCATTGCATATAAAAAACGGTTCTAAGCGGCGGCTCATTTTACTATGAATATTTATTACTATAATATTATGTTCTACTATCACATAAAAAAACAATAATATTATTAAATGTTATTAACTTATAGGTCAATAGCACCGTACCGTTAAAGTGTAGAGCGGTATACATAGTTTAAGCTGAATATTTTAAAATTTGCAACGTTTTAATTATTTCATGGATGGGCAATTTATAGTCATATAATTATTCGGTGAAAATATCAAGTCTTTCACAGTTATTCATTTTGAAATATTATAAAACCAAAATAGATTTTGTTGAAAACTTGTTCAGCTTAACAATTCTTGTTTTTGTAATTTTTTTCGTAGTACATATTTCCGGTATTTTCTGGAAAATTTGTACTCTTGAACAGTTGAACCTCTCTTCACAAATAGATCCAATTTCCACCAGAAACTTACTTAAAATTGTACGCAACGATTTAAATGTAGTTTCAATAATAATGTTAGCAGTAAAAATGGAAGAAAATAATTTTCTGGTGGGTTATATTCGCCGTAAATTAACGATTTTCTTATTTTGTTTTGACAATTAATCGTGGATACTTAAAATTGTCTCCAAAAGTTTACATCAACTTTTCTATGCATCGTATAAATTATATGTTGACCAAAAAATTTTTTTTTTAGTTATTTAAAAACATTCACTTTTTTAGTTTTTTGTCTATAAAAGTCTATACAAATTTTTCACGGGGTCAAAAATCTCGAAAATTTAATACAAGGTTCGTCGTAATTAGTTTAATAGCAGTTAAAAAATATTAGTGATACATAGGCACGATTATTTTTATAAGCATTTAAAAAATTTAATTTTTGTTAAATTGTATCAAAATCCCGAAATTTTATTTTATAGTTAAACAATTATAGAATGTTTAATTTTGATAGTTAAGGATTGAAATAGGATTTTTTAAGTAGTTTAAACTGTAATCAAAAAAATAATTTATCTATTTTAGATATTTTAAGTTTAAATTTGGGCGAAATTATATATTATTTAAATAAAGAATAACAATTTTAGTTATTTTGTTTTAATTTAAAAATATAATTTGAGGGTAAATTTTAAATTATATTTTATATAAGACAATAAAGTGCTTATGGTATTTGGATTACAATGCTTACAATTACTAAGGCGGAAAATAATTTTCAAACTAAAATGTATAAAGAATTTCCTAAGAAACTCGTGTGGACAAGGATGTTTATCTAGTACTACAATTTTAAACATAGAAAAAGGAACAAATCAAAACTTTAGCATTGAGAAAGTAGTTAATAATATTCCTAACACAAAAGCGAGAAAAAAATTTTTTAAATAGAAGAACCAAATAGGTATGCGAGTTATTATGTTAAAAAAATTGGGCCTACAATTTTGTTAAGTGGCAATACTCCCAGAGTTCAAAATCCGACAGTTCGCTCCTCCTCTCTAGCCAAAGAAAAAAGTGTGAGGCCTTTTGACATCCCACTAAGTATGAGCCCCTGTGTGGTCGCACTCCTTGCACACCCCTCATGCCTCCACTAATCATGGATATCTCATTAAACCAGAAACCGGTATCAATAAATTAAATAAAATCATACAAAAAAAATATGAATCATTGTATAACATCTCACAGAACAGAATCTAGAACAATTCATAACAAATACAATAGGTGAATTACAATAGTTTTGAATAGTGATTTTTGAGTGATTTCCCCGGTGATTTCAAATATCAAGTTTTTTAACTTAAACAATTTAAGATTTTTGTTTCTTAAGTAAATATTTAGTATGTGCCAATGACTTAAATATCTTTTACAATCTTTGAAAAAAATATAATAATATATTATTCTTTGCAATATAATATTGCTATACTTTGAAGAATAAAATACTGATCATACTATTAATATGTACAAGGTTATGATAGATGTACTTTAAGAATAAATTTACAATTAAAACATGAGTCATACACAATAACCCTTTGTTTTTTAGATACCTAAAATACACAAAGAAAATTATTTCTTTAAGATCATTGTTGTTCTATTTTTTTAACTATTAAATAATAAGAGATTTAAAGAATCATATAATTTAATTTGTCGTTTCTTTGTATAATATGAGAAAATAATTCCCAAATTAAAATTATTTACAATGTTAGAATTATTAAGTTTCATATAAGTTTGGAAAATTAGGTATTGGTTAATTTAAAAAAAATGTACCTAGATTATAGTTAGATATATGAGTGCTGTATTGGTTATTTTAATTCAAAGGATTTAAATATGTTACATTTGTATAATACTATTTGTTTTTTTTTCGACATACTGGCTACTAAAAATGGTTATAGTTATAAGTTACTAATTAAAAAACTATTAATAATTAAATTCTATGCAAAGTATAGATGAAATTAATAATAATTGGAAGCAGTTACCTAATACAAAAATGACCAAATGACTTATTAGGTAGTCTAATAAATAATGTGTTAATTACTGTATAGTACATTAGTTTTAATGTAATAAACCTATTATCCTACACAAAAATAAAAATAAAAAATGCACATATTATGTACTATTCTATAATACTCACATTTATGGAAACTGTTTCTTTGCCTTCAAATGTGAAATTTTGCAAATCCGGCTTCAAAAATAAATCGTATAACACTGGTTTAACAGATTTCGGGAGTCGTGCGAAAGGTTTCTTGTCCCCAGCCATTTTATAGTATTTTTTCGTGAACGAACTCGATACGAACAATCGAAAACACCTAGAAAATAATGTGGAAATAAATCGTCAACAACAAAAACTATAAATATTCCCGGCAACGATGTTACAGATTCGCGTGTATTATATACACTAACACGCTCGCACGCTTATAATACTGTTTTCAATTACATTAACACACTAACACGGTTCCAGGTATCCTCCTCTTCATACCCCAACTGAACATAACGGTAAACCGAGTTTGTAGTTTTTTAAGCCCCTATATATACGTATGGACGGAAACCGGTTTTTTGCACAAAAAGTAGGCCTCTAAAAAAAAAAATCCTCCGTGAATACCGCCTAATGTTGTTCGTGCAACGCAAATCAACCGAAAACGGCGTAATACAATAATAATGGTCTCGAAGACGCGTTTTGGAAGGTAAATCGAATCGAATTTCTGTTCACCCGGAGGGTCAATAACATTTAGGCAGACGTTTCGAGTTTTCTCGTAAATCATGAAGTGTGTACGCATCACACGACACAAAACGTCACGTCCAAACGCAATAATAATAATAATGATAATAATAATAATAATAATAATAATAATAATGTAATATTATATCATAAAAGTTCAAAGGAAATAAAAACGTGTAGAATTAGAAAAATTTACTCACTGTTGACGGTGCTTAAATCGATATTTTAAATTTGATTTTATACCGGACTCTTTGCTATTTTTATTTTTTTATTTGTTTCAATATCGGAATAATTTTTTCAGGATAATATTTTGAAGCGATAATTAGTTGGACGACGATAAAAATCGATCAATCATGCACGGACAACCACACGGACGGACAGACGAGAGTGAATGAATCAATGAACACGCCACTACGCCAGTATGCCACACGGTTAACAGTTAACACTCAAAAACAGATAAACGCCGAACAGTGACGAGGGAACACGTATGGTGTGGATAACTCGATAACTCGCCTACTCCGAGCTGCGGACAGTGGAAGTGGCACTGTGGAAGGGAAGAAATCGAGAAAAACGTAATACAAAACCACGGAATGAAAAAACGCGGCCCGATTCTCTCTCCTGGATCCCAGTGATCCCATATCGTAGCGTCCCATTGGTCGGCGGCGTCGAACAGTCGGGCCACAATCCGTTAGCCGCTCCGCATCGTACCGAGTTTAGTTTAGTTAATATCGTTTAGTTTCAGGCCCCGTGCAGACGTCCGTCGCCGATACTCGTACGCGATGTGGCGACACTCTCCCGGTCTTGTGATAAGAGCACGTGAAATAAAAAATAGTAATAAATAATAATCCCAGCGGCGGCTTGTGGCTACCTATCACTTATCAGTGTTGAGAAGTTACTGCCTAATTAGTAATTAGTAGGTAGTTACTAAAATATAGTTATTGCATAGTACTTATTAGCTAATAGTTACTAATTACTATCAAAGTATCATAATCGAGTCCAGGACAGAATAAATATTGATCGTAATTCACCCGAAATTCGTTAACTCGATCCCACCCAGTCCATTCTTAAGGCGCACAGTGAATAACAACAATTAATTAAATTAATTATATTTTGTTCTGGTCGACGATACGTTTTGCTTGTGCCGCATAGTTCATTGAATCACAATAATTGTTTCTATGTGTATTGCTCAATTTTTCGTCGGAGTACTTGAGTATTTTTTACCACTGTCATCGACGAGTTTTGTATTGATTTGTTTCGAACACCTTAAGCGGCTAACGAAAACGCAAACATGAACAGGCCGAGAAGTCAAGCTGATCACGAACTGAAAGCCAGAGCCCGTATATATGTGGCAAATATACCGGCGGCTGGTATGACTCGCAAGGAAGTAGTGTCTGTATTCCACAAATATGGTGAAATTGATAGTAAGTTGTCTGTCAATCACTATAATATGTACAGTATTTTTGTAAAGGTTATTTTTTTATATATTATATCTGATACCTATCCAGACATTTCATTATTAAAGAAATTATATTTCTTTTCAGATGTTTCACTACAGACCAGACATGTTTTTGTTCAGTTTGTGGAGGAGTCTTCTGCACTCAAAGCCTTGGCTCAAAATCCTCCAGATTATATTATGAGCAAGAAGCTTGGTATGTATGCTAATTTTATTTGGTTTTAAAATAAATTTGTGTGTATTGCAATTTGTTTAGCCAGTTGTATTAAAACTGTTTCCAATTTTTTTGTTCAGATGTGAAACCAGTGAGACCTTTCTTCTATAGAAATGGAGAATTAGTAAAAAATGAAAGAGCAGCAAATTTTGATGCCGAAAAAAGGTATATAATTTATAATTTATAGTTAGACCAAAATATTTTATAGTTTGTGGAAATGATTTGGTGTAATGTTCTCTTTTTACAACTTTTAAATACTTTCGTTAGTTGCACAGTGTATACAAAATTTGACATCTGACACTTTAAACTTTAAAGTAATGGTACTATATCTATGCAACTCAATTGTTTTCAAAAATTAGTTTTTTGGGTACTCCAAGGTTAGGTTAGTTGAGAAATTAATGAGAATGCCTACTTTAAGAAAATTTGACATAACCTGTATGACTCAGCACCTATTTTCACCACCAGAAATGAAAATACTTCACATACTACATAGTTCATAAGTACAAATCTTCATAGTTCTACAAATTTTCAGTGACCTTTTGAGATTTAAATTTTGTCTAGCATTAGAATAGATTATGTAATGCTTAACTGGAATTTAATCTACATGTAGATTTAAAAACAGTACATTCAATATTTCTATCAAATTGATTATCCTTAAAAAATTACAAAAGTAATTATCTTGAATATTATTTAAATCTTATCATCTTAAACTTATTAAATATTTTATCGTATAACATTATGATTTCAGAAATGAAAACCGAAATCAACCAAGAGATTTGTAAGTAAAACATTAATTTATTATTTTTGTTATTCACAATGTTTTATAGCACGCTTGACGAACTTTTTTTATTTTGGGCACAACCAAACTTGATTACTAAAGAATAAGAATCAAAAATGTATTTATATCTCAGAACTTAATCAGTGAGTAGTATAATTTTGTTTAGTCCACATATCTCATCTCCTCAATAATGAATTTTGGTATTAGAATTCATAATTAAAGAAAAAATGTATCGAGTATTAACTATAAAGTTCGAATACAACCTATACATGTAGGAACTACTTTATTGAGAGTTATAAACAATTAAATATAGGGAAGATATTTTAAAATGTATATTTTATTATATATATATATATATTGTCTCCTGTAAATATGTCAATGAACGCTTAAGTATTTTGCTTTAAAATTATGCATCAACTTAGCACAGTTTATAGTAAACACTTTGAGGTGATTGCAATTTTAGACTTATTGACGTTTCATAATATTAGTTTTACAATTTTAGTGATGATTTTAAACCAGCTAGACTCAATCCTAATGTGATGAATCCAAATGCTCCTAATGATTGTGAAATTGTTGTCACCAATAATTCTTTAACGTAAGTTTTAAAACATACACTTTTTATCATAGATGTAAGTAAAATAAATAATAGTAATTTAGTGATTTTGTCTATTTTTTTTTTATTTTATAGAGAATATGCAGAGTTCTTAGAAGTGAACTTAAAAAAAATGAATATAAAAGTTGATTTATTATTTCCTAATCCTGATATACCAATGAATCGTGTTCTTGGGACCTTAGCTCAAAGAGGGACGTTGTATGTTTTAGTTGTACGTGATGAAAATAAATTGTATAGAAGTGTTACTGTTGATATACTTCATGGTATACCTGAAGGTAATATATTATTATGCAATTTTTAGACTACACAAATAACATATATGTATGTATATAATATATATAAGTGTGTGTGTATGTATGTAGGACAATTCTTTTAATGCCAAACATTCATCATTCAAGTTAGTTTTAATCCTTAAAATAATGTTTAGTACAATTTAATGGTTTAAGAGTACTTTTAACACAAACCTTTTTTTTTATCATTTATTATAACAATTATTTCCAACATTTTTGTGACAATTCATAGTTTCATTCATTTTTCTGAAGCAGACTGAAACTAGTGGGTGTAAAGAGCTATTGTTTATTACTTGTAAATATTTCAACTGAAAAGGTTACGGGCATGCAAAAAAAAAAGAATTGGGAACTTCAGGAGGCTCCAACTTACAACTAAAGTTTTCTGCCGATAATTTTTTTTCGCCATTGATCAATTTTACTTAATATAGGTAGGTTCCATAAAATAATCCAAATAATAAAGTTGTCTGGTAAAGTAGTTTTGTTCCTAAAAAAATGTTAATAGTTAAAATATTTCATGTTTTTTCCTCGTAACTTAAAATGTATACTAATAACAAGAAATTTTTGTTAAAAAAAATATCATCTTAAAGATGCTTATTTTTGTGTTTTTGTAAGACAAATATATTTTTAAATGTATATTGATGTATTATTTTTATTTTTCCAGAACATAGAAACATGCCATATAAAGATGCATTGGCATTTATTGTTCATAGTTTTGATGCATATGTTAGAGGAGAAAAAATGACTCCTATACCTGGACTTTCGGGCATTCCTATATCTGAATGTGGCTTGCCTTTAGGTGATAAACATCCTGAAGGAATTAGTACATTGTTGAATTTATTACAGGATCAAAGAGATATAACAGTACTACAGTATGATATGGTAAATATTACTTTTCAAATAATAATGTAGTTCTTTAATTGCTTTATTTGTAAAAATTGAGTAATATTTTTTATACTACTTGTTTTATTCATTAATTACTTTTAATTAAATGTAATAATACATCAACTCACTAGCATTACTTGGGCAACAAAATAAACACAACAATATTTTGTTATTTTTATTAAAAATATATTATATTGGTTTTTCTATTTTTTTTTTTTAAAGATACTACAATATCTAAAAGAGAAAAAAGATGAACATATCAAAGAGGAAGTTGGAGTTTTGCCAACTTTTAAACCAAGTAAATATTTTTTTTTTCATCTTAAATAATCTTCAATATTAATAATGAAATTGTTGATGTGCATTTGTTTCTTTATTATTATTTTATTTGGCTGGACATTTTTGTAATATATGTGTGATGCTTAAATTTAGATTATAAATTAAGAAAATTATAATATGTTGTTATAATTGTAATTTTTCAATAACAAATAATTATACATTTTAGCTATAGCTGATATACCAATTCTCCCGGCAGCAACTGCTATTCAAAATCCGCAAGCTGCTCAATTACAAAATCGTATTTTGAACATTTTGAATACATCCCTTTCTTCTACTGCCCAATCTCAACAATCCATTGAATCTAATCAAACTGAAAAAGAGCCATCAAGTATTCTTCAAGAACCTAATGTACAAAAAGCATTAGAAAGTTTATTTCAGGGTGGATCGTTACTTAGAAAATAAAGATTAATGCACATGTAAAAAGAGCCCTTGTAAATAAATAATTTTTTATTTTATTGTCACATTTTAAAACTATTATCATATTTTATTTATAGCCCTTCTTGTATTAGTTTGCTTAATTATTTTCAAAATTAATATAACAAAACAAAATATAATTTTTTGTTCAATCTTGTAATATTTTATCTTATAACATAGATCTTATATTTCTATGGGTATAAATGTATAATTATATAAATATATGTATATCATTTGATCAATTACCGTTGGGATGTAAATGTTAATCCTTGCAAGTTCTTATTTAGTTAAACAAGAGAATAATATATTTATACAATATGTATTATGTACAAATACTTATAATTAATAACCTAAAAGCAAGCTATGCTGTTATAAATTATAATCCTCTGATAAAAATAAGTCTGATCAAATAAGTTTGGAGATATATATAAATTATTATTTAGCATGGGATCTTGGCATGTTCGTTTATTTGAAGTTAAAACATAATAGAATCAAAAAATTAAGAGAAAATTCAAATAGAGACATGTGCACCTCAAAAAAATAAAAGACTTAGCTATATTTTTTCTCTCATAAAATATATTTTGAAGGAAAAATGTTGCACCGTATACTTAGTCTATACCAGGGATCACCAATTAATATTTTCCGCGGGCCACATTAAGAATTCGGAAAATTCTCGCGGGCCATAAAAATTCTAAGTTCATAATAATTATTATAATAAGCCGGTTGGTCAAAAATACTTTATTTCTAAAAAAAAAATATGTACACTTATTAATTATTAATTATTATGTAACTAAAACTAATGAAAATATAATTAAATTAAATAAATATATGAAACAATTATAAATTAATATTTTTAATGAGAAAAATGCCAGATCTTGATTTCAACTAGCTGCTTTAAGTCGGGGTTATGGTTTGTGGTAGCTATCTTCATCATCATTTCAAGGTGTTCGTAGGTGAGTCGGGATCGGAATTTGTTTTTGATATAATTCATTTTTGAAAAAGCAGACTCACAGACGTATGTGGAGCCAAACATTGTACACATTTTCACTGTCAATAATTTCAACGTCGGGTATTTCTTTTCAGATACATATTTCAACCAAAATTCATCATAATATGTAGAATCAATTTCAGTTTTTGAATACTTTTCATTATACAAATTTTTTAGGACATCATCTGATTGAAATTCGTATTAAATTATTGGATTTTCCTCTCAGTCTGCGGGCCGGTTAAAATGCATTCGCGGGCCGCCATTTGGTGACCCCTAGTCTATATTGTATATTGAGGAATATAATATAAGTACATACTTCGCTATTATGTTCCCATGTAAACATAATATTACGATATAATCTTTAGCTTATTTAATGTTGTAACTTGTAGGCATATAACAGGTCACAAATAAGTAGTAACTAGTATTTGATATTGTCAAAATTTGAACTTAAAATCCGTATAAAAAAAAATTGTGCCTATGTATTTTAATATTTTTTAACTTTTATTTTAACAATATATCAAGAGTATTGTACTAAATTTTCATGCTTTTTGACCCAACATATAATATGTTACATTTATAGGGGGAAAAAAGAAAATTGAAAATGCCCGTCAACAGCTTAAAACGAGTTCAAATTTTTGAAATATTTTATCAAGTATATGAATTGATGAAATATGGTGTAAATTTCAATTCAAGTTTCTACAGTAATTCATTTTTGAAATACAACAAAATAAGAAAAACACTACATGAGAAATCTAGTGAATGTTGTAAAATTTTTTACTCAAACTCTCATAAAAATTTAATTAGACTTTCCGGTAGAAATTATTTTTTGATTAAGGTAGACAAACTTATAACTAATCTTGTATTCAATATTGTTAAATCTTAGATACAAAAATAAAATTTTTTATGAATATCCAACACAAAATAATTTGATAATTTTCTTTATTTCTACAAATTTTGACAACATTTTAAGTTTAAACGTTCATAAAAAGTTATTGTGGATTTACGCTCAACTTTTTTTTAATTTCCACTTACAACTTACGAAAAACTTTGTATTACATTTAGGTACAAGTTTTTTGACAGCGAAAATTTTTTTATGGACATTAGTTTAAAAAAACAAATAGTCATCGAAAATTTAATTTGCCTATAAATAGTTCAATACAAGTCAATATATTTTGAACATTTTATTATGGCGAATAGAAAATGTTAACAAAAATATTCATCGAAAATCTCATGTATTTTAAGGCAATTTTCTTAAAGTTACACTAAAAACCAAAATCAATTTTTTCGAAAATTGGTTTTGAGTTAAAATTTTCGTTTTTCCTTAATTTTATGTTTGCTTTTCCTTCGCTTTTGAAAACTATTGGAAGTTTTAAATTTTGACCTCCCAAATGCACCAACTAGATTCACTTTCTTACCAGAAAAGTTGCTGTTGAAGAAAATCTAACTTCCTTTTTTCTTTATCAAGTAAACAGTTAAATTGTGTTGTTCAGAAGTTTTTGTGAGTATTTTTTATAAAAATTCAATATTTCAATGTTTATGTTACTACCAAGTAGGTATCAGTATTATCTAGGTATTACCTATTTACCTACCCTACCTATATATTCTATGTTTAAATCTATAATAAATAGTATTAAAAAATAAAATAGGATCTTCCTATAATATTTTTTTTAAAAATAACAATACACTTTAAAAGAAATCGACTATATCTATTCGTCTAAATCTTTGAGTTTCAAGCTGTTGTGGAGGTGGATCAAGTCGTCTTGAAGGCTGAATTAGCACTTAAGCATTAATTTAAAATTATAATATAGGCTTATATTATTATAACGTACTGGACAGAAATTTAGTTTATTTAGTTTGGGCTGTCACTCTGTCACTTTATCATGTTATGTATCGAAAGATATATTTATTATTTATTGTTTCGTATCTCTAGAACAAGACCACCATAACACAAAATTTATTCATTTTGAATCATAACTACTTTCGAAATTTCTAATAGTAAAAAAATCAGCTCTATAGAATGGAAGAACGCCATATTCGATATAATTTTTCATCTTGTCGCCAGAATATCAAAAGATGTATTCGTAAGTATTGAATTTTTTCAATTTTTAGATAATTTTTAAAGCAACAGAAGAGCCATGCTTACTTAATATGGCAGTACCGCCAGTACCTATCCATATTTGACTATATTTTTTCAATTATTTATCCAATTGATCATCGTAGTCAAAATTCAATACCTTATTTCGATTTGTAGCGTTCTTGCACTAAATAAAAACTCAATTTCGTGTCATATATTTATGTGTTGAGTGGAAAACAGCAATATTTAATGTGAGTTGGTTTTGAATTTCATAATTATTGATATTGCAGCCTTATTGTGTAAAACGTCAATCTTGTATTATAAAATAGAACTTTTTTAATTCCAAGTCTCAAAATATGTCAGTCTTGCATTCACATAAAAATAATAAAATGCCATAAATCTAACTTTTAGGGCTTAAGATACTATTGGCTTAAGAGAGTATTCGTATTTCATAATATTATTTATGAAGTCATAATGCAACATATTATGTTTATAACTTATAAGTAAGTAAATATTTACATTTTTATAATTTCAAATACATCGTCAAAGAACTCTATAACGAGTATAACGGAATAGATTATTAAAAATAATTATTATTATAGATTCAGAAAATATTATTTAATTTATAATGAAATGTATCTCCTAAGATATACGTCGGTGATAGGGTATATTATTGTATACCTAATGTTTAATATTTATAAATTATAAGTTATAGTCCTATATGTAGTATATTGTATTATTGTGATATAATACATACCTACATGGCTTAATAATTAATGTGAATTTATCTACTAATATAATTTAATATAAGTAAGACAGTATAAATTATACACCTATGATAGTACGCCGCATTATTTTGTAATTGTTTTGACGTAGACGGCATATAGTTGATCATCTGTATGATATAGACAATAGTCATGTACAATAAACTATAATAGTCTACTCTGTCGTCCCACAGATTATATTTATATTAATAGTAACATTTTATATTATATGGTTGTACTGTAATACAGTTACAGTAAACTGTATAGTATATTACTGTTAAAAATATTTTTAATCGCCCATTTATTTGTTTACGTAGGTAATTATTATAAATTATAATGATGTAATTGTAATAGACAGACAGAACTGCAGTTGATTTAAATGTTGCTTAAATATATTTCGATTGCCACATTTTGAATAAAATAACTGTAATAGTGTTTATTACCTTTATTTTTAAATATTATTTCGTAAACAATAAATGTTTTGAGTCTTTCCATTTTATAACAGTAAATAGCTAATATAGATAGATACCTATCTATTGTTACATAGATATTACACAAATCAAAAATCAGCAGAAAAAAAGTGTTCACACTGTTCAGTAATCAGTCATACACTCATATACTAGATCACATAAATCATAATTACTAATTACTAATTAGCCAAATAAGCAATGCAGCGCACTCACGTCTCTCATTGATGATACATATCATAGATTATTTAACACTAGTGTTTATACTATGGTCTACAATAATATTATCTAGAATATTAATATTGTATTTTTAGTTAATCATAATATTATATTATCTCAAGTGGAAAGCTGTGATTTAAGATGTATGTACAGTACAGGTATAATATACGTAAAAAAGTATATTATGTAGATTGTATTTAGGTACATTATTTTAAATCGCGGTGGGTACGTAATAAGAACCTACTAAGTATTGAGTAATTAAAAAACGTACTCCGTGTTTACGTATTGCGTGGTTATCAGAACATCAGCTTACGAACCACCGGGATTCGTGTTGTTTATATTTTTGTTATTAAGCACACTGCGCATGTGCAAAATTACGTTTTGTTATTATTTTGATACTGCGCCGTTGTCAGTTCTCTCAACTCTCGAGTTTCTTGTCACTCTTTTCTTTTTTCAGTCTTTGTTCTCATTTCGTGCGGTGTAGTCGTACGGACTTGCAGTTCATTCTCAGTTTTTTCTTCTAAACGACTTTATTCCTAAATCCTAACATACAAAATATATAATAGTATTGCATTCTGATTTACACACTCGCCTGCAAAAATATAATTTGTCCATTACACAGTATTATTATAATGCCATTTATATCGAAGGATTGGCGATCTCCAGGGGAAGTATGGGTGAAAACAGAAGAAGGATGGGAAAAAAAGAAAATCCTGGAATGCTGCAATTTTTTACTAGGACAACAAGATAATTTATTGACCAGGTAAAAATGGTAGTATATTTACGAAAGCTTAAATGTGTGTGGGTAGATACGAATGAAATTTAAAAAAAATAGGTAACTAGTTAAATTTCTATAAAATAATTATGCCGTGACAATATCGGCATTATTGCATCAAATTATAGTCTAAATGAGGTACCTAGATACCTTTTTTTTCACTTTGGAACCGTCGACGCCACCGGATTAGTTGATGACATTACGTCCGCGATTTCAGAAATGACAGAATTTTCTTACACAGCTTTATAGTGTAGGTACACCACTTACATTGGTCGAATCAAGTTGTTTAATATTTTCTTTTCAACCATTTACATTTTATTTATGTCGTCTATCTAGTATAGGTACCTAATTTTATTTGGTGAAAAGTATTCTTATAATTCGACATCCAATACTTAATATAGTTATACTATTTTTCAGATATTCTGTTTCTGACCATACTGACGTAGAGAAGACTGATGATATTGATAACTGGTAAGAAAATTGATTTTACCCACAGTAAAAATATACATTATTCTCTATATTATGTTAAAATTTATTTAGTAGATATGGTATACCCATATATTATTATCTACTAGAATTACGCCCCCTCCCCACACCTCCTTCAGATTATTATTTCAATTTGTGCTTATCTCATATGATTACTAAAATTATTTAAATAAAAATAACAATATTATTAAATAGGTACAATCATTTTATCTAATTTTAGGTATCAGTATAATTTAAAATAAACACGCGACTGTTATCTATTTATTATTTTTATTGCAATTTACAGAAAATTTACAATTTTAATGTATTTTAAACGCAATTAGTAAATAGAATAATATATACATAATAATAATATTTGATAAATTAATTTTAATACTTAAACTAAATTGATCTTTTAAATTATAGCTGATCTATCAGTTTTCATCTTATATGTTCAAAAGACAAAAAGGGCCATCCAGTAGTTTCCTTTCAAAGTTTATATTAAGATCATTTTCCCAATATTTTGTGATAGAAATTTTTTGTAGGAAGGCCAGAAAGTAGAAATTTATTAGGGCTACTGCAACCTTAGCCCTCTTAATTACGCCGATGTTGACATGTATAATACATATAATACATGTAAACAAATTTATCGTTTACTTCAAGGACGCTATTTGGGGAAAGTCAGGGTGTGCACTCCCACACCCTTGCAATTTGTATCAATAATTGGTCAAGATGATAATCGATAAGCCAGAGGGCCTTGGAATTGTGAAAAATGGTGAAATTTTTTAACTCCCTGGGGCATTTGTGTACAAATGAATGATTAATGGGAATTCTGATGCAAACAGTTTTTGACAAAATGTTTTTTTGTGCACTTAACGCAAAACTGTAATATCGTAGATATTATAAATTCTCACCAAATGTTTATTTTAGCATTTTCTTTATAATATGGTATAATTTTTAAAATGTTTTGAGCGATTTGTATAGACATTTTAAATATTAGTTTTAGGATTCTATAAAGTATAAACAATATTCTGAACACCGCTATTATACCTATTACCTATCCCTGTTGTGTCCGTGCTCCGTCTGTTAGTTAGTTACCAGTACAATAAGACATAATAAGTACATTTGTATAGTTATGATTCTTGTCTTTTGATATTAAGATATTAATTTATTGTCCGTTGTTAGTATAGTTGCTAACTATATTGTATATAGCTATAAATTATGATTGTTTTGAATCTTACAAAATACGTTTAGAATCCTAGAATTTATGGTACGCTCCCTGTTTTTCTATAAATGTCGATACAAGTGTTAAGATAATAATGCTAATTCGTTAAGATCTCAACAAAATTTATAAATTGATTTGTTGTTAAAAATATATTAAATTTAAATTTTTTATATCTAAGGCTTCGTAATTCAATACAAGGTTGTTTTTTGTAAGTATATTTTTGTATATTGAAACAGAAAAATATATAGGTACAATGCATTTTCTTTAGACATTTGAAGTTCAAATTTGAATGCCATTAGATATTTAAATGAAGAGTAGAATAGTGATTTTGTTGTAAATCGTAATTTGTACCTACATATTATTTGTGAGAACTTGAAACCTCAACGTATATTATTATATTTTATACACACGATGTCATTTTCAATTATTGCCACTTATTGCCACTTATTGCCTTAAAATTATAGACAAAGGAAAAAAGAACCAATTTATTGAATCTATAATAGCTAACAGATACTTTACGAGTTAAATTACGAATAAAATATATGTTATATATAATGTATTACTCGAGGTATTACTTTATTGCAGGATTTTTTTAATAGCAAAATGTTTTACTTTCTCGTCGGTTTTTAAATAGCTTGACAACCATTATACAATATAATATGCGAAAGCGATAAGTATATAGGACCTTAGTAAATAGTTATAAATATAAATTATTCGAACACTGTTGAAAATATTGATAGAAACACTACAACGCTACTTCGTTTAAAATTCATTTCTGAAATGTCCACACATCGGCGTGTATAGTTAAGTAGTTGTTTTTTATACATTGGTAATTAAAAATTTAATTATGACTGCAATAATATTTGCATTCTAAAACTATTTTTTGCCCATCATTTGCTAGAGATTTGATAAGACCTGACAAATACCTAGGTACAATTCTTAATTGTTTTTTTTTTTCACTAACATTTTGAAAACTTATTAATTAGTAAATATAATATTATGATGTGTATTATTTAAACCATATAAATGTGGCATGATCATTTTGAGCTTCATAAATGATATTGTCATAAAAATTTTAAAAAATTTACTAACAATTAAACGTAAAATCAATTTTAAAGATAGATCTACTAGGTTGAGTTCACTATTACAGTGTGTATAAAATATTCATATATTATAATTATATACAGGGTGGTTTACTAATTGTGCTCACCCCTACCTTTTCTTTTAATAATAAATTTCAATTTGGAATTATAAAAAATTATCAATAAAGTTGATATTTTTTATACCATTTAAGGAGTATTACATTTTAGGGGTATTTACAAGCATCTATTTTTCAAATGAAAAAAAAAAACATTTTTTACTATAAGACGTAAGTCAAGTCGTTAACAAAATATATTTTTGAAAACTGTGATGTATCTATAACAAAATTCAATAGTTCAGTTTCTGAGAAATTAAAATGTATAAGAATAATAGTCATTAAAAAAAAAATATATTTTTATAAAATTATAAATGGCTTGTAATAGGTAGGTATTAAATGTATTGTATTTTTTATAGCTGTGCTCTGAAAATGTTATCAAATTATAAAATGCTGTTAGATTAATATTAATTACTAAAATGTCCACTCATAAAAGTCCCCATGTCTTCCTTAACTATTATCATGGACCTATATATTATTATCCTTAATGCAAAAAGTTGAATGGCTGAAAAACTGCTCGTTTGAATTTCGATTTGGATACATCAATATTTTCAAAAAAGTGTTCTGCACTCTATTTAACATTGTACAATGTACAGGAAAAAAGGCGATTCTCATTTGAAAAACAGAAGTTGGTACCAACAAAGAACACTACTAAATGTCATTAAAAAACTTAATTTTTAAAAATATGTTTGATACATTTAACAATTCCAAAGATAAGAATTTGAATAAATTCATCATTAAATAAAAAAATGGCTATGATCATGTTTGGTGAATCGCCATGTATCTATTGTATATAATATATTAATATTATACTATATATTGTTTAATATAATTTATTTTTATTTATTCTTAACTAAATAACAAATATTTTCTAAAGCTATTTAAATATTTAAAAATAATCGAAAATTATTGCGTAAAAAACTATAGCTAGTTGTATATCACTTATCTCTATTGTTATTGGTAGCCGGTAGGCATACCATGTATTTCTAAATTTTTTTATTCGCATTATACAATTAATAAATACGAATTTGAGTATCCGGGATGGATAAAATGAATACATTAAATTTAAAGCTTTAAAGAGTAAACAAAGGGATTGTGATGTTACGAGTAGGCTATAGGTACCTTATGTTATTTCTAACTGCTGCGAGTGTCTTATACAGGTATGGGGTTTTTACTGTATTTAAATTTCTAAACAATTTTAAATTATCACTGCATATTTTCACTGGATTTCGGATAAGTAAAAAACTAAACAGTTAAGTACATAGTATTTCTTCATAGGGGAAATGTATGTAAAATGTCCAAAAAATTATCAGTTTCAGGCTAATAAACTATTTTTGGGTAACCTAATCCTCTATACTATATTCGTAATATATTTTTTTTATGTTATAATTTATTATTGCTTTCAAAATTCGAATAATAATGGATTGTGTCGGAATGACCGAAGCGGGACGAAACTAGTGCTGCAGTATAGTGCGTGACACACACATTTCAACCAAATAACTTTTTTTGTTAAATGAAATTGAGTGAATTGGCCTGATATCAAACTTGAAGTTAAAAAAACATAATATGTGTTTGTACATTAGCTTTTTGATGATATTTCAATTTTTCTTCGATATGCAAGTGTTTATAAATTGTAATTTTTTACATACTTATATCTCGCATACAAATTGAAATGTCGTAAACAGCCAACATACAAAATATGCATATTATCACTTTCTTAACTTTAAGTTTGTTAATCTATTCACTGTAGTATTAAAGATAACAACATAAGATTCGTTTTCAAACAAATTTGCTATACCTATGTATTGGGCGTGAGTCAGACATAGACAAGTAATAGTGCACTGACATCCTTTTAATACATTTTTAAATAAAATAAAATTATATAGGTATTAGGTACTAAACATAAGATTGTAAATTCAAAAATAAAAAAGTAAAAAAAAGGTACCAAATATATGCTGTGTTACATGAACAATCACTAAACATTTAATTATTCAATAGTGAGCCAATGATCCCTTAAGAGAACGCTATACCCACATGTGTTGTCTCCGCCTTACAAGAGCGTAACGTATCACATTTTGCGTTCAGCAGATCACGTTTAGCTCAGTTAGCTTAAAAATTAGAGTGAATTGACCTCTTATTAAAATTAAAGGTAGTGCTTCTCAAGGGTTTTTTATTATATTTTAATTTTAAAAAGAGTTATGAGTATTTAAAAATTGTAAATTATTTGTACAACTTAAAATACTCATAACTCTCTTTAAAATTAAAATGTAATAAAAAGCTCATGAGAAGCCCTCCGTAACAATCCTACCTTTAATTTTAATAAGAGGTCAATTCACTCTAATTTTTAAGCTAACTGAGCTAAACGTGATCTGCTGAACGCAAAATGTGATACGTTACGCTCTTGTAAGGCGGAGATAACACATGCGGGTGTAGCGTCCTCTTAAATTTTGTTTAGTGACGATACTGAAGCATGCGTGATCGGTTCATTCAATTTCGGTGAATTATTAAAATTGAATAATTAATATTTTTTTTTCACGTAACCCCCGAAATAATATGTAATGTAACATATTTAGTTATTCCTATATTTCGCATGAAAAAATGTGTTTGGAAAAAAAAATTGTGCTCAAAAATAATTTATAAATATATAATGTACGTCATAATATTATGTTCTTATGTAACATTATGTTCTTATAATCTTATGTCTATGTTATGTATATGTTGTGTGCTCCTATTATATTCTGCATCATTTAGTGATTCGAACGGATGAATCTCTTAAATGCATTCATAAAAAGAATGGAAACATTATAGTGAAAACAAGAATAGAAATAGGTACCTATGTGTAACGAAAATGGATACACGTAACATAACTTATATATCTGCCACAGAATTATACATTTAGTATACACGCAAGTAGTTATTACACACATACGACGTACAATAATGTTACTGTTGTAGTGTTGTCTGTTTCTGTATTTCGCATGGGTACTGAAACATATCATAGGAGATTGTTAGTGTTCCAGTTATGTAACTGTTGGTTTGTAGGTAAAATAATAATTGTGTAAATTATTCATGGAATAGTTTTTTTAATTATAAAATTTTATTTTACTTTAATTTACAATAATAATATCATCTACGTTTAGATATTAGTTTTACAATATAGAAATTGAAATTTAACTTAAATAAAGTTTATAATAATTATTTACTATGTATACTAATTTATACTGTGCTATTTTTGATAACGTATTTATTATTATTTAAAATTAGAATATTTAATCTTATCAAAATGCTAATCCTTTTTTGTATATAAATACATAATTAATAATTTTTTAAGACAATTGATTTCTGACATGACAAACTACGACAGGCAACAGTATCTTTATCATTTATGCTACACTTTTTTTTAAAAATTAATGTTCTAAAATCACTCTTAAAATAGTTTGTTTTCAATATGTTAATATTCACATTTAATTAATAATAAACTATAGTGACTAACACTAATACTATAGATTTAAGTACAAACTTATGAACATCAAATTATGTAGTTCAAAGTGTTTGCAAATGTGTAACTCACTATAACTGAAAGCGTAATACCTTATTTGTATCCAAAAATAACTTCTGATACTTAGTCTTTTACCGGTTACACTTTTGATCTAAAGTATAATTGGCTGGAAGCCATTTGCTGAAGTATGGCGTTTTTTAGACGTAATAAACATATTTGGATGACCTCCAAAACTTAAAAACATGTCCAGCTATATAGTATGCAAGCATTTGTTTTTTTATAAAATTAAATTATATCATAAGAAGTTTTTGATTGTTGTTTATGCAATCTGATTTTAAATTTAGAACAAAAGATACAAATTTCCGTAAATATTTTCTATATTAAGTACAAAATGTCTCATCTGTAAGTTATATTTTTATATTAATGGGTCTGGAATTGTCTATAATTTTGAATTGAATGTATTGTAATGCTTAAACTTTGGAATTCAGATCTTTACTTAAAGTACTTCTCCTGTTATAGAACTACTCAACCACCTATTTATGTAGCTGAAACGAAACAGCTAAGAGGGGTCTTATTTATACAGCGTTTTGTGAGTGGGCGTTTTTAGTGGTTCCAATATTTGTCTGCTAAGAAATAATAATTTATGAATTTTATTTTATAAATATAATAATTATAATAATAATAATATGTATTTTATACAGTTCATTTGAAATAATAGTATAAATGGTACTGCTAGTTAAATATTTACAATGAAAATAACCTCGTCATAAATTCAATCCTTGTGTTACACTAAAGGATTTAACTTTTGAATTATGATTAAAGTATCTAGGTTTATAATTATTTATATTATTTAATACCATAATTTATGGCTATTAATATATTAAGTTATTTAAATACTAGGCTTATTTATTTAATGTGTTTATAATAAATTGTAATACCTACAATAAATGTAATATTAAATAATGTACACTGTGGACTATATTTTATATTGGCTCATCATTGTCACAGTTCATTGCTATTTGCTGTGTATTTAACCGTTATACAAGAGCACAAGGCTATTTTAATTGAAAATTTTTTACTTTTATGATGTGGAGTTTAAAAATACACATATTTTTGTTCTTAATTAAGTAAGCATATTTTTGTTGTTATGTTTGTGTATATTTTTTTTAGGAATGAAGATGAAAATTCCGAGGAAAAAGAAAACAAAGGCTCTACTAACCATTTTAAACGTCCCAGAACTAAATATTCTAGTGAAAGTCAGTGTAAGTGTTCATTATACATAAATATATAATACACATACATACATTAGAAATATATTTAGTTATATTAAGAAGTGCTGTAATTCAAAATTCTGAATACTTATTAATTATTACCTACTAACTAGTAATTAGTAATTACTCGAGTAATTTCTTATTGTGGGTATTCATATTTCATATTTCAGATGTGGAATAAAGTATTATTAAATAATAAACAAATAGATGCAAGCAATTTGACCTTAACCATGTGAGGTTATAAATCACAAAGTAGAGTACTTAACTACTAAAGTGACTCATTGGGCGAATGGCCTAATTGTGTATTCATAGAATATTGTTTGTTTTGTTTTTACAAAAACAGTGAAATAATAAGATTGGCCATATTGCCAATTGCCACAGTTCAATTATACTATGTTTAGCAAATCTAACTGCCTTTGTTAGATATTCATCATTTATGTGTAATTTTTTTAATAATTTCTTTTAGTAGTTCCTCTACTTCTCCACGATTAGATACAGACAGAAAAACCCCGCTTCTTATCCTCTTAGGGTATAAATATAAATATAGGTATGAGGAACCTATTAATGTATGTCGATATCACTATATCAGTGGGAACTAGGTTGTCCTAATGGCTATTGACATTATCTGTGGTTGGTACTTGGGTGATAAGACTTTAAGAGGAAACCTAGGGCCTTGGGCAGTCGTCTCAAAATCAAATTACCAACGGGCCATATGCCATATGCCCATATTTATAGTTTATACGTAAAGTGTTCGCGGGCAAAACACTTACTTTTTTACTCATCTTAATACTATTCCAAAATCAATAAAATAAATGAAGACAACATTTATTTCTTCTACCGATTTTAATTATTTTAATTTATGTATTACTGTATTTAATATAGGTATTACAAATATGTAGATATTAATTTTGTTGTTAAATAGTTATTTATTTTTATTTTCAAAAGTGTTGAAGAAATAAATGTGTATTGCGGGTCACACTGAAATGGTTCGCCGGCCTCATGTTTAAGACCTCTGGCCTAGGAGAACATTATAATACAGGGTAGAGTATACTGTACTCTGTAGTCTGTACACTGCCATACTGGGTATCTCTGAGGACAGTAAATTGTAATTTTTAATCAAATAGTAAATTTATGTCAAATAGTTATACATTAGCAGCTTATAGTTTATATTCAGTGATCATTTAAGTGTTCAACTCGTTATTTAAAAAGTTTGAACTTTTTTGAGCATATTTTTTTTACATAACTTGTGACTTGTGTCATTACAAAACAACATATTTGCAAAAAAATAATACATTTTATTTTTTATATTGTTACCTATCGTTTTGTAAGTTTTTACTTTTTTGAATGACACCATACATTTTTAAATTTTTTATTTAATATTCCGATACAGAATTAATTCTGAGCATTTTTATCTACAAAAGTACTAAGATACCTAAGTAAATCGTTAGTTATAATTTATAAGCATTTTAAGTTTAGATAAGCGGAGTAAAGCGGTACAGGGGAAAATTGTTATCCACTCTTCCGCTTATATAAACTTTAAATAGGTGTACGGAGTGGCCGAGTGGATAACGCGTCGGTTGCATCGCGCACCGTCGCCGGTTCGAACCTCGGTCACGGGCGCCACTTCTCTCCGGGCAGTCACTGGTGCCCACTAGAAATTCTGCCAAACAAAACACGTGTTCCGTAACCCTACAGTCCAAAAACCCTACAGTTCCAAAACCCTACAGTACCACTACCTACAGCTAATGGCATCAGTTGTCGAAGCTTAAATAAAAAAAAAAAAACTTTAAATATCATTAACTAATAAGTGATAAGTTATGATTTTCTAATGAACTACTTCTCCGAATTTGTATTTTTGTAAATTGAAAATTGAAATACTCCAAATAATATTTTGTTTCGGAATAAAAAATAAAAAATATACCTATGGTGTCATACAAAAAATTAAAAAACTTAAAAATTTGATAGTAAAAAATAGTAAAAAATATTAATGTTGTTTTAAAAAGGCAATCAAATAATATAAAGGAAAATTAAAAAAAAAGTTAGAACTGATATAATTTGTAGGTATTGACTTTTAATTTGTATTTAAATATATTTTGAGATATTCAATATAAATATATATTTTATATTATATATTTTAGTTTATATTTATGCAAAAGAAAAGGAGGAAATTCCCCTCGCAAAAATATGGTGGAGGGTGGTCGGGTGGTCAACAAAAAACATTCATCTTTACCATAGATAATGTAAATAATATAACATGTATCTCAAGCGGTGTGGAAAGGGTTGGTTCCATGTACCCCTGTGGTGACTTGGGAAAGAGGAGATCAAAACTATTTGGACAGAATATCAATATCTATGTATTATGTATTATTACTTAGTACTTACATAACATACAATCATTTTCTTTTAGATGATGGTGTTATCCAGCCTCATTGTCACATTACAATAAAATGTACAAAAGAGGTAACAATAATTTGCATTACATACCTACCGTATTATAAATAATTACCTAAGAACTTACATAATTTACTTTACATTTCTTCATTTTATTTTTTTTAAATACATACTTCAAAATTTTTCCCTTAAGTTTTTACACAAATAATTGTTCTTATATAAATCATGTGTAAAATTATTTAATATTTTAGATTGCAGGGTTTAATGGTTTAAGTGAGGCACTCAAACGATTAGACTTTCGTTCTGCTGTACACGATGTTCGTCGTTTTCACTATATTTGTAAACTTCTTGATCTCCTAGTATCTCATAGACTAAATGCATTGTCTGGTTGTGCTCAAAGGGTCCTCTTTAATATAATTGAAGAAGTTGCTCACCAAGGTGAGTGTTTTTTTAACAATTATTGTTTCTATATAATTATCTTAAATACTTAAACTGCTTTTTAGTGTCTCAAAGTCAACAAAACAAACATATGTTGGACCGTCTTTTAGGACAACTTCGTGAAGTTGTTGAATGTGCTTGTTGGGGCAGACCACTGGGATCAACTATTTTATGGGAACAACACTTGACTACTATTAATCGTATTCATGAAATAGCTGATCAAATAGAAATTCGTCAAGTAACATTCATTTTTATACTAAGTTTAAAAATAAATGCTGTTATAAATATTTGATTGTAATTTTAGCCTGGTGATAATGAAGGACCACAATTTGAACAACTTCCAGAGGAGTGTGTTCGTGAGGTTTTGTTACGATTAGCTGATCATCGGGATCTGGAGCGTTCAGCACATGCATGGGGAGTAATGGCACGTTTAGTGGATGAATTACGTATTTGGCGTGAGTTATGTCAATTTCACTTTAGTCCACGTCAAATACAGTCTGTGATTGATATCTCACCGAGTACCAGTGAAGACTGGCAGCTTATATATCACAAGTTAAGAAAGTAAGTTAATCGTATTTAAATATTCTTTCATTCATTAATAATATTTCAAGGATTCGGTTTATGTAAGTACTAAAATATAATTTTAGATGTTATGGATTACGAGAAGAATATGCTGAAATGATACAGCTATGCCGAAATTGTCGATGTTTGTTCTGGAATAGTATTGGACATCCATGTATTGCAGACACTGATCCTCATTTTATGGAAAAACTTGAAGATGTTGATAAGAATTCATTGTATGTACCTATACCACCACAAGCTTTTCTTAAATTTTTTTCACTATAAGATCTTAAATAAAAATGAAGTGGTATTCAGTCTGTTAATACTATGTAACTAGAAGTATAATTATAATTTTTCATTTGCACAATTTTATCTCTAGAAATTTCACACTTATAGAATAGGTATGTTATATTTTATTAAAAAATGTAAAAATTAAATGAAAATGTGAAATTTAATACATGATTATAATAAAAGCTGAAACTCAAATCAAAATTTATTTATGTATTCAAATTTAAAAGTTATTAAATAAAAATAAAAATTATTTTTCTAGAAAATAAATGCACATGATAGGTAACTTAGCGTAATTTAATATACTTTTGAAATGTATATATTTTTGACAATCTTAAAGCACACAGAGTTGATTATTAAACATTTAAATATTTAACATAAGGTAGGTAGGTACCTAATTACATATTAAATTTTCAGTAATAAAATGTCAAAGTGAAATTTAATTTTTCCTATACTTCCTTTTATTTTTTTCTGTGAAAAAACAACTGATATTTTCTAGTCATATTTGTTTAATATATTATTATTATGGCTCCATCCATTTAAACTAGTTAGGTCTTGAAGTCAAATACCAAATAACATACTTAAAAGTTGAATTACATATTATTTACTATAAACATATTTGGTACAAATGTACAATCATTACTTACTTATGTTGATGCACTAAATATTAGTATTCAAAATTTTTATGTATTGATTCATTAAACCTAAAGTAATATGTATAATATTAATTAATATTCATTTAATTTCTGACATTTTTACATTAAAAAAAAAATATATATATTTAAGGTTTCAATATTATTTTAACTAAGTAAACTTAAATTATAATAATAGGAATTATGTTTGAAATACTAAATTCATTTTTCAAAATGGAGAATTTTTTTTTTATCTTTTGGGGGTGAATAGTGTTAAATTATAAAATATATTATAAATAGTATTAAATAATAAATATTAATGCAAATACAAAACAAATAAATATTCATTGGTGATAATTATAGATGACCTTATTTTTAATAAAATATGTGATATATATATATATTTTTAAAAACAGACAACTGTTTTATGATTCATTTTGTATGTGTTCTGATATATATGTAAAATACATTTTTTTTCATTAAACGATCAACATACCTACAATGGTGTCTGTAGAAATTTGTCGAGAGGGGACAAAATATTTTCACTCTTCAATTTTTTGTTTCACTATCCGATTAGTAATAACATATGGTTTTTGTGACATGTTTTCTTTCACAATATAGGTAGGGAATATACAAATTATTTATGAAAAACCTTTATATTTTATATTACACAATGATTATGACAATTTGCCCCCAAAAAAAGTCTAGGGTAACTGCCCTTACTTGCCACCCAAAACCCCTTGATTAAACCCTTGTAACATTAGACCTCTAGGATCTTTAATCTTTTTAAATTACATTGTTTAACAGTATATAATGTTATTGATTGTTTCTATTTTATTAAAAATATAATTACACACCATTATAGCTATATATGACATAAATATATTTTTGTAGTATTAATATATAATAAATTATTTAGTTTCTATAAAGTATATGATAAAATATATCGATCTAAAATCACTTTAAAGATACAATTTTACATAACAATTTACAAGCTAAGAGATTATTTTTTATTAATAAAATGAAATCTTTGCCAAGTTATTTAAAATAAAATATTTGTTTATTTTTTAACTAAAAAAATCATATAGTTTATATTACCTATATATAATCAAAATGTTAAAGTTAGAGATTGGATAAAATCATATATTAGTGAATACTATATACTATAATATTTAAACAATTCATTTTATGTTACTATTGTTGTTTTTCTTAAGTCTTATGAATTTAACCATAAAGATTCAAGATTTTTAAGGTAGAAATTTTACTGTATTAATGCAAAATCAAGGGTTCTAGAAGTTATGTGTGAAATATACTGACCCGTATCAGAGTCAGGCCTTAAATTAGTGTTAGTAACTACTATGTATTGATACGTATCTAATTTTTCTTCTTAAAAATCTTGATATTATATTAATGGGATCTTAAGTTTTTTGTAAAAAAGTCATTTCAAACAAGTTAAAGTGTAGATTATTTTTAGTGCGTTTCAAATTTAATTTAAAATAGATACTTAGAAAGCCAAGATAACTAGAAACTACTGAACTAGTAGTTTAAATAAATTCCCTTTTTCCTAATTAGATTAGGTTTAGTTTATTTAAGTATACACATATTTTATGTCATACATTTATAATTTGTTAAGTGGTATAAGTTTAATTTTTGTTTTTAAATTTCTTTTGAGATTAATTTTTTGTAATGAAACATTTTTTTATTTTGTGTTGTGAAAATGCATTTGATTTGTGATTTTAATTTTAGTGATTATTGTTTGTTGTATGTGATTTTTTATATTTAATGGGTACTTAATTTAGCAGTCATATATTATTTTTATTACTTTAATACCTTATGTTTTTTTTCTCTTGTGATGTCTTTCTATTTGTTCTTTATTAATAGTTACAGCTAAATTAAATAATTTTTTATAGTTTATAGTTTGATTGGGACACGCGTAGGTGGTGTACAATAAAAATTACAAGTTCAATTGTTAATGGTATACAAATAAGCTTCTAAATATCATACAGTTTCATATTTTAGTTGTATTATATATTTATATACGCCAACAGTTTTATGCCATTGTTAAAATTGTTGTTAAGTATACTTTTGGGTTTTGCCTATGTTTAATTTGTTATTATTTTATAATTAAAAACAGATAAATGTAGCTTGTGAAATGAAATAAAATGTTAATTAATAGAATTTAATTTTGCTTATGACTTTCAATATACCTTCCCACTGATTCAATTAGTTCTTTACAGTTAGACTTATAAAGTAGGTACCTACTTAGCTTTTAATTTATTCCTAAAGGCTATAGGTAGAACAAAACAAAAATGTTAGCTTCCTTGTGCTTTATTTGAAATTGAATATTTTTCTGTGTTTTATTCAGTACTCAGCAGTATTTGTTCTGCACTGAATAACAAATCTGCTTCATAAGAAATGTTGGTCTTCTCATTTCAAGAAAAAATTTCGATTTTGAAATGACTCAGCCTCTTACATAAGTTATATCATGTGTTGACTGTTGATGACCCTATATTAATAATTGTCAACCACTAGGTTAAGGTTTGCTAAAAATTGCTTAGAAAAAGAGAATGATAGGATAGGATGTTATTAAGTTAAATTTTTTTAGCATATTTTAAATGTTTGTTTTGAAAGAATTGGTATTTTGATATTTTACTGTCCAACTGTTTTCCAAAATAATATTACAACAATAATATGTTTTTTTGTAAAAAATATATATGGATAACCATTAAATAGTGTATTATTATTTATTAGGGAAAAATAACTAAGAAAATCATAAAAAAATCAGTGATATGTTATGTAATTCTTTGAATTTTTTTTCCATTAGCCATATTTAATAATTTTTATCAAATGATTAAGCACAATATTACATGGTACTGGTCTGGATAAAATATCAAAAATCAATTTTGAAATGCATATAAAGAGTTAGGTGTGGCCTTGAGAATATAATTTTTTATATTCTCGAAATTATGACACGATAATTGATTGCTGCTTGATCGTGGCCCTGTCAGGTCGTGATGTAGGTTTGGGTTGAGGTATCTAGTGAGAAACATAAGTTTCATATGAAACAACACATTACACAAACGTCAAACACTTTATGAGGTGTGCAGGGCCGGTTTGGACGAATTCGGCCCTCCGAGTTTTCCGTACTTTACCGGTCGACTTACAAACTGGCGGTTCTCGACCTCATTTTTTTTAAATCACTTATTAGTTATTGCTATATATAACTATATAGTATACAAGGTACACTAATCTTTTCTAAACGATATCCCATACAAACATAACAAAGAGTACCTACCATACTACGGTGTTGTATTACATGAATTAACAACATTTTTTAAAGGTTGTTGAAATTTAATAGCCCAAAATCGTCGAGGCTCACCTAGTTTTACTCGGTAACTCGACGGGCCAATCCGGCCCCGGAAGTGAGTAGCTTAAGTACTTAACAAAATTATATTATATCTGAGGATCTTTTAAGATTTATTTTTACGTTTTCTGTTAGTCTCCCAGAAACACCATAATTGCATTTTTAAAAAAAGTGTTGAGTACTCGCACTTATCAATGCTAATTTTTATAATTTAATATACCAGCTACTCCGCCCAAGTTAAAGTTACCTAGTCCATCTTTCTACCGTTTTCTGTTTGGTTTCAGACGAATTATATTATACGATACTTTATTAAATACAATATTATACAATGATTACATTTATAAATTGGCACTTTTTAATTTTTGCACATATTTCTGATGTATCTAACTACAAAAAACTTGGTACCGTTCTACGAATGCTTAAAGCCGATTTAAATCCAACACCGTACAATTTAGTAGTTCATAATCACACAAGATGTAATCATTGTAATATTGTTCTCATAAGGATTTCATCTGAAAATCTGACAATACTTCTGTCCACAATAATTTCATTATTTTATTATATATTTTAACTAACCTATCTAATTGCTGGGTGTAGGTATTGATAGTATTAAACAAATATGAGTTTTTATTGAATTTTTATTATAAAGTTTGACTCGCGTTCATAAATTTTAGCATCTAAATATTATCACAAGTTAATGATTATATATAAATACTTTTTGAAAAATTCAATTTTCCGTTATTTATATGAATTTATTGTGCTTAATAATACAATAATCCTCATGGCTATTTACTTATTTATCTATTACATGTTTTGCTTGTCATTATTTTTCTTACATTAACCAATGCCGGCCATGTTAAATACATATTATATACAGACTCAACAGAGTGTAACAGAAAGATATGACTAGGGTCAGATTGGACGAATTCAGCTCACTTACAAACTGTCGTCCCTCGACTCTCTCACTCAGTTATTTCATTTGTCATATCATTTCTGTTACATCCTATATATATATATTATGTATATATAAATATTCGATTTCAATTTTTCGAAACATAATTCCTGTATGAGACTTTCTTTAAAATATGGATTTTCTAAAATCTTTAGTGCACTCCTACGTGTTATACGAAGGTACTATGAAAATAACAAATCTCTAGACATCGTATATTCAGCTGTTCGTATATTAATTAGTCAAGATTAGACTTATTTTATAATTACACAGATTTAATGATAAAATAATATAAATTAATATATTATAATGTAGAATCATTTGTAATCTAAATTATTGTGATTCGATGTAGGTAGGTACCTAATTTTGATATTTAAGATACTGTTTTATTAAAATTAAAATTAAACTACGAAACTTGCCATTAGAATCACAAATTTATCTAGATTCTGATTCTTTCGGTCTAAGATGAATCGAAATGTTCGTCAAAATCAGTGGAGCAGTTCTTGAACCAATAATCACAACCATAATGCCTATAGGCTATAATCATAATATATCCAACAAGATATGAGACATTGAGACGATAATGTGATGCAATTTATTAATGAGAACTGAGAAGAGTTGAAGAGAGACAAATCTAGAATGCATTTTACATGAATTGTCTTCCAAACAAATTTAGGTTAAGATTTGGTGATTTAATCAGGTAAAGTTCATATATATACATATATTACATAAAAATCTTGTGTCACAATATAAACAAATGTTTGTTACCGAACTCCTCCGAAACGGCTGGACCGATTTTCATGAAATTTTGTGTGTGTA